TTGTTCAGCCTGAAAAATTCCGAAGTGAATTACGCTGTTAGTCGCTTCATCGATCACGTCGCCTTGATAAAAATCGTCTTTTTCGTAATAACTCGTTTCAATGCCGAGATGCTTGTCATACCATTGCGCCAGCATTTTGGGTTCATTTGCGTAAATCATCACCGCTCCGATTTTTTTGATTTTTTTCATTTCTGCACCTTCCTCACTAAATTGAAATAAAAATTTGAAATTCGTTTGAAACGCCTTCAATTTCCTGCCGAGGTTTATTTCTCGCCGACGGTTCGCAGGTAGCGAATCACATCGGATTTGAAGCCGTTTAAATAAAAATTAGTATTTTGCCGCCAATCACGCAAGGATTGTTCACCGTCGGTTTCGATAATGTGATCGGCATGTCTTTCTATAGCATTGCTCATCTCTTGAAAACATTGAATGGCAAGCTCGGTTTGATTATCGGTTTTGACCTGTTTAAATCCGGCTTTGGTGAGTGACTTCGTATATTCGTCCGCCGTCAGCAGATTCGTCATTCCGTCAAATTCCCACATCGTGCGCCGCGCTTCATCCGTTATTCGCGTTCCGGCTCCGACTTCGGCAACAACCATAAATCCGTCATCTCTGATAGCCGAATATACATTCTCCAAACAGCGATCCATATCAGGAAGCAGCATCAGCGAATCCATAATAAATGCAAACTCAAACTTCTGCGGCGGCTGCCAGCTTAAGGCGTCGGCATTGACGAACTCGATCTTTTCCGCAATCTCCGGCGGTGCGTCTTCGAGCAGTTCGCGGGCAAATTCTATCTGTTTTTCATTGATATCCAATCCGGTCAACCGCAAATCATAAATCTGCGCAAGATAACGGCAAGTCGCGCCGGAACCGCAGCAAAACTCGACGCCTTCGCGAACGCCACGCTCGTTCGCCATCTGCCCGATGAAATTTAATATGTTGCGTCCGCCGATATTGACAAATTCCCAACCGCCATGCACCGGATCATAAACCACCCGCCGCCAAACCGGATCAGCCGTGTGGTCATAAATTTTATTTTTTTTCTTAAATTCGTCGTCTGTGGTCATAAGCAAAATTCTTTTTACTAATGAAATATCGAATCGGCAATGCTGAAAAAATCAGTTCCAGTCACCTGTCTGCGAAATCGGCGTATTTTGCTTTGAAGTCGGAGCACCGACATCTTATCCGGCAGCCGCATTTTCGCTCTGTCCATAATTGATACTGCGCGGCGGCATCAAACCATATTTGGCACGCAGGATAAAACGTCTTGCTTCATCCTGAAAATCAAGTC